ATTATTATTCAGTAAAATATTAGATTGTAAATTATTTCATATTATTATTGTTGTATTATGTGCATTGGATGGGATACTTGTAATATGTATGTTATTATTTGAAATCGAGTCATTGAAATTGAAAGTAAGTTTATGAATAATAAATAATCATAATAAATATTTTGGGGCAGAGTTTTTGGAGGTTTGCTTTTTTACACATTTGAAATCATCAATCAATCATTGTTAGACCACCATTAGAAGCCTGGAAGCACTGAAAGACGACCGTTTCGTCCTCGTATGGGACTCATCAGCTGTGCGCATCCACGACTCGTGCTCCTCGCAGGATTCGGACCCGGCACCTTCGGCATTGTAGGCGAACGCCTTACCATCGGACCACTGGGGAGACGTGACCGATGGAGTTCAACCCTCTCGGGTGTAGGCAGTAACTACTAAATACAAATGGGTGAGGTCGCGCAAAATCTGTAGATCAATCAGAGTTTGACATTAACACCGTTGGATGCCGATGGTAAGCCGTTCTCCAACAATACCGAAGGTCCCGGGTTCGAATCCTGCGAGGAGCAGGAGTCGTGGATGCGCACTGCTGATTAGTCCCATACCAGGACGAAACGGCCGTCCAGTGCTTCCAGGTTTCTAATGGTGGTCTAACAATGATTGATTGATGATTTCAAATGTGTAATCATAATTAGTATTTACAGCTGTTAAAATATAATGAATTGTTCTATATTTTTTTGAAAACCTTGAAACATTGAACACCCGTGTTTTATTTTAGTGTAGGACTCATCAGCCATGTGTATTCATAAAACTCTGTAGAAAGGGGAATTGAACTCAAAAGATTTGAGTCTTGTGTGTGTGAATGCTTAACTTTGTGATCATTTAATCAGCATTCAATAGTTGTGATATGCTCGTTAATTGAATATGATTGAATGCTATTACGAGTTCATCTTAGTCGATAAACGGGAGTGAAGACAAATGATGCAGTTACATGATAGGCTACTCTAATACGAGCGTCCTAAGGACCCATTAAGTAAAGGAAACAGTCTTGACAAGACTTAGAAAGTGTATTCTACAAGCTTACAGAAAATATGAGGTTGACAAGCATACAAATCGAGTTGATTTACACATGATAGAAACATCCTCAGGAGAGCCACAAAAATAGCATACTAAAATAACCCACCAACCAATGACGGTCAAAGATCTTCCAAGTGGGAAATGTGATCTCATGGTCAACTAATCAGCCCATGCCCGAAAACCCGAAAAATTCAAAATTAGGACCTTCATCGAGTGAGTTCTCGGGATCTATCGTCCCCAACAAGTTGTTATTGCTGAACTAGTAAGAATCTGTGATTAGCAAATATTTAGATATATCACAACGTAAGTTAGTTACATAATCAAGGCGACAGAATATAGGTTCATAATAGTATGAACTGACTAGAAGTTATCTATTTATGTACATTGTGTTATGTTTGCTTAAGAAATTTAAGATTAAATACTTATCAGAAGATTGAATATTGTAAAGTATAATACATTGTGTTGAGGTCATCAATAGATGTTTATTTAAAAGAGTATCCTTCTAGAACATACGACTCATTGTTCAATGTTGCCTACTTTTCAATGATTGCATAGGTTTGTAGTGTGTGTCCGCTAGCTTTCGGACAGACTAATGATGAACCTTTTCTTCCCGAGTTAATATTTACATGTCTTTCGACTTTGTCAATTACTCACTTAGATCTTAGTTGTTTTTATTCGAGTGTGTGGTATGTGCCGCTAACTTTGCTGGAAGAATGTCTGGGTGATTTTTTGTCTGACTAGTCATGCATCATTATATTACTGACTTGACTCGCTGGCTTTCTCTGTTTCGCCTTGCTTGTATACTTTTCATTCTCATGTCTGTCAGCTTAAATGAATACATGAACGATTGCTTGAAATACACTTATCTAACCGAATCGATATTTAGCTACTTACTACCGCTGTCACACAAACACGGTTCGCCTAAATGTGATATATCGAGACTAAAGAGGGAGATTTATTTCATAGCATACTCGAACGTTCTTAAATAAAGGAGTTAGGTTGCAGGCCACTAAAGTAGTCAGCCCTACTTCGAGCTTAACACAGCTTACAGAATCATGATCTCAAATATCTTTTGACCTGTAGTTTGTTCTGTCAACCTCGATCTTCATTGGTTGCTGTTGACGGTCTATCTCTCGTTGTTTTCACCTTTGTTTTGATTTTATCCCCTTTTGATCACTTTTTGGATCCTACGTCACCTGTGATTTTTCTGATTAGTTGATAAATTGGGTGAGTGTCAATGTGTTTGTTGATTGCTGATTGACCTGAGCGCCAAGCTTTCCAGTATTTCCACATTGTCCCAATCAAATGTATGTCTATAATTGTCCGTGTATATTGATATAAGCGAAGCGTTGTCGTGGCTTTTGACTGCTAATTGGTGTTCATGTAAACGAAGCTGAAGAGGTCGTCCACTTTGTCCTATGTAGTGTTTTTCACAGTTTGAGCAATTTATTTTGTAGATGATATTTGGTTTTTCTTCATTTGTCATTTTGTCCATAGGTCTACATAGGATTTATTGAAGTGATTCTGTTCGTTTATGTGCCACACCCATTCCAAATGGTTTCAGTAGTCGTGCTGTGTGCTTCTAGCTATAAATTTTCTCCACCATCTCAAAGATCGTTGAGTTACGTTTGTTGAAATCATGAAGTGATCAATGTTAGACAGCTATTGAAAGCCTGAAAGCACTGAAAGACGGTCGTTTCATCGAAGTCTGTTTAGTTGAACGGGAAAATCCAACAATCGATAGGAAGTTCAGAAAATTTACCAACAAAATTTACAACTTATCAACAAACAGAGATACATTCAAATCAGAAAAGTAGACCATATTTTCAACCAACAAAATATACGTTTTTTACTTGGATAATGATGTTAGATGATGACAAATAGCGTATGCTTATAAGCACCTAATATGTATCGTTTCACTTAATTCTTACTACTGTTCTAAAGTTTCACTTATCTAAATTCTCATTATTCGGTTGCGGAGATTGTTGAGTTACTGATTAAAATCATGAATCACCAATTGTTAGACCACTAATACATACCTGTTAGCATTGGACAGCCGTTTTGTTCTAAATATGGGACGTATCAGCAGAGCGCATCTAGAACTCTCACTCATGTGAATCGAACTCAGAACCTTCTGTCTCACGTGCTAACACTTCACTCCTGTCAAGTGTGAAGCAGTTACGCAATAAAGACAATAGATGAGATCGCAAAATATTGTGGATGGATTTTTTAGTTAGACAATAACACCGTTCGATGCCGGCTCAGTGGTCTAGAGATTAAGCGTTCACATGCAAGATGGAAAATCCTGGGTTTGATTCCCATGAGCGAAAGTTCCTTGTACGCACTACTGATGAGTCCCATACTTACTTACTTACGCCTAATACCCCGAACAGAGCATAGGCCACCCACCAGTATTCTCCAACAAACTCTGTCCTGGGCTTCTCTCTCCAGTTCTGTGCAATTTTTATTCATTCTTCTCGTGTCTTTCTCTATTTCTCGGCGTAATGTGTTCTTTGGCCTTTCTCTTTTCCCTTTGCCTTGAGGGTTCTAACTGAGGGCTTTTCTTGTGACTCAGTTTGGTGCTTTTCGTAATGTGTGTCCTATCCACTTCCACCGCTTCTTCCTGATTTGATGAGTCCCATACTTGAACGAAACAGCTGTCCAATACTTTCAGATTTCTAATGGTGATCTAACAATGATCAATTCATGATTTCAAAGAAACCTATCTAAATGTCACTACAATTATCGATTTTACAATATAAAACATAATAGAAGTCAATTCGAGTTATTTTATTAACGGTAAGATGAAATTAACATGATAAGTAACAAACTATTCACAATCCTTTATTCGAATCAATTAATTAAACTGTAACTAAGCGTAAACATAGAAACGATAAATCGAATAGAATAAAACATTTTTGACTGAATTAACTATTGAGTAGATGAATGTATCTCTGCCGACATCTACAAATTTTGCAAATATACTACTTAATTGTGATAATCATTTATACTATAACTAAGGTAGTAGTCGGTATTTAAAAAAATTAAAATCTAAATAAAAAAAGAACTTATTGGATTGAAGACAAGTCAAATTAACGTATCACAAAACGAGATGGAAAGTATTTCTTGTGTATTTAAATTCTTTATAACTGTTACTTCTATCGATGGAAAAAAACAGTACTAACTTTGATTATCCTTCAAAGATTATTCAGATTACTACTCAGCCAATGTTAGACCATCATGAGAAACCTCAAAGCAATGGATGGCCGTTTCGCTTTAGTATGGGACTCGTTAGCAGTGCTCATCCTCCACCCCTTACTCACGTTTCAAACACACGACCTTCAGTCTTGCGTACAAACGCTTCACCTGTAGACCACTGAGTCGGTATCACACAGTGTTAATGTTCAACTCCAGTCAATCCACCGTCTTCAGTTACTTTATCCATTGTCCTAAAAGGGTTATTTCTTCACACTTGACAGAGCTGAACTCCACTTGTTACGACTCTGATATGTTTGAAGCTATTTCAAATCACCTTACTTGGTACCGGAATGAAGATCAATGATTCAGCGACACAATAGACTACTCTAATCCGATCGTCCCAGGCCCCACTAATGAAAGAAATAAGTCTTGATCAAAAGTAGAGAAATGTATTCCACAAGCAACCAGAAAGTACCAGGTCCATTAGCACACAACTCAAGCTTATTTTTACAATTACAAAAAGTCCTTGGTGATAGTCACAAAATAGCGTACCAAAATAATCCTTCAACCAATGACAGTCAAGGATTTCTCGAGTGGGATATGCAAAATGAAAGTCAAAAGGAACGTCTTTGGCACGAAAACATAAATTTCAAATTTTCGAAATAGAATTACAGAATTAGAACCTTTTCCAAATGAGTCCTGGCGATCTAACGTCCCCAACGTACTTGTCACTAGAACTTGAAGAAAATTCCTCACAAACCCACTTAGTAGTGAGCATTCATTAGAGGGTTGTGTTGATAAGTCCCATACTAAATGATGTTCTAACATTGATCAATTCATGATTTCAGTGAAAAATCA